TTATTATTTATATATCATTTTCATTGCTGTTTTATTATTATATTACTATTATTGCTATATTATCATTCTTCTTTTTATCACTGTTACTACTATTATAGCAAAATGCAGACGACAGCTTATGACAAATATACGAGGCACCAATGTTATTTTCATAAATATACCTATTTCATGCTGTGAATCCCGGTCACTTACAGCATCACCTTTTCTTTCTTTTAAGAGTAGCACCGTATGCCTACTTCATGTATACTCATTCTAAATGTCTGTGTAGTTCTCTTAACACATGATCTGAGATTTTATTCGTTTTTCCCTATTCTCCCCAGACGGTAAATTTCCGTCGTGCACAATACATTACTCCCTAATCTTCTATCAACAGAATTGTCCCTTTTTTATGAGCGAGGTAAGCGAAATTCAGTCACCCTGCCTTTTCTGTAAAACCTCTCCATTCGGTTATACACTTATAGAGAATAACAGTACACAGATCATTAGCATAATACGTAATTTCTTTTTACGTCGCCTAGAACTGTTGATGAGTGTGACGACCTGTGTCTATGGACACTATTGTATAGGGGTAGGCGCTTCGCGCCCCCTCGCAGAGGACCTGAGTTCGATTTTCGTGTCGGGAGAATCTCGGAATATCGAGTCTCTCGGTCTTTCTAAGGGGACTGGCAGGCTGGTTCAAAGCCAGTCTTCTAAATCAACTATAGAATGTCGATGGGGGCCTAGAGACACCTACTTTTTTTTCTTTTTTTTTCTTTTTTTATTTGGATTGGATGGGCATTTAGTATGATAAAATCATCCGTTCACTTTTAGTATTCAGCAGGCAAAGTCACAAGCCAAACCTCAGTTTCTAAAAATAAAAACCTTGTCAAATTGTAACAAAGCCAATATCAGCACGTTTTATTCAACAAGTGAGGGTAATGTATTGGTGATGTCTTTGCTGTGGTTGTAGTAGCGTGGTGGTGATCAGGGGGGGGGGGCGTGGGTGGAGTACATTTTATTTTAATACTGAGGGAGATTCCTACGTGATCTCGTTGTATAATGATGACGTAAAACTCTTCTTGAATGCCCAAATTAAAACTGACGTTTGTTATGTAATGGAGAGATTTTTCTACGTTGCGTTAAGCGGATATGAGATCGAATCCTCTGGGAGAAAGGTTTGGTTGTTGTTGTTGTTGTTTTTAATCATTAGATTTATTTATTATTAAATCGTGTATTTTTTCTGTCTGCAGAGAAAATTAATCTCCTTTAGCCTGATTTGTCCATGACCGGCATAGTGGAAGCAGCCTGACTCTGAATTGATGGAAAAAAGGGGGCGGGGCGGGGCGGGGGCAGGAGTTTAAGACATTTGCAATTGCATTACTTACCAAGTAAAACGCTATGGGGAGGGGGGAAGGGGGAATGATC